GAAGGGCTGCTCGAAGATGACTGGATCTCTTTCCCTTTCGCCTTCTAAATCCTCTGGCCGTCTTTGGAGAAACGGCTGTCAATGTCGATGGAGTCGACGTGGGGCAACGACTTTGCCTCTTCGGCACTGTTGGGCAGAGAAAACTTGTTGGGAGTCTTTGGTCTGGCGGAGATGGTGTTCAACCCCTTGGAGGTTTCCTCGAAATATCTCCTCGCGGCTTCAATGTCTCCGTGCAAAGTCGCCACGAGACCCTTTGAAGTATAATATTTCATCTTCAGGTGTACTGTTGAATGCACGACTACCAATTCGGCCAGAGTTGGCCGCCCGAAGATGCACTGGTATAGCGACGGGAAATTGATGACCAGGAATTGGACCTTGATAGACCTGGTTGTTTCAGCGGACCCGAAAGTCACGATTAGCTCTACATAACCCCAGAGCTTTGTCACCGACCCATTGAAACCCTATAGATCGGAGCCCACGTAGGGCGTCAGATGTGATTCGTCCAACTGGAAAATGGAGAACATCTAGGAATACATGATATCAATTGAGCTGCCTTGGTCGACGAGGATTCGTCAGACGTCAAAATTGGACATCTGGGCTCTCACGAGCAGAAGGATGCTGGAATTAGGGGCTCCACCGAGGAGTTCCTCGCGGTAGAAGAAGATAGGAACATATTCTCCCCAGACCCTGTCGAGGGTAGAGTTTTTGTTCAAGCTGTTGCTGATAAGGTGCTCAAATTTTCTTTTGACGGTCCCTACCGTAACCTTGTTGAAGCCTCCCCCGGAGATGATCATGGCGGAGGGGAAGGTCTCCCACGGGTTGTGCGCAGCGAAATATGGAGGGGCACTGAGTCCCTCGGGGATGTAGAAGTCTTCAGGCCACGAGATGCTCATAGTGACCTGGAGGCTGGTTTCTTTAGAGGAAGGCACCTCTTCCTCGATCTTCTTGGACTTCTGGGCGTCTTGGCGAGGAGCACCCTTCCTTTTGGTGAACTGCTTTAAACTTCCTTCCCTGACGAGTATCTCTATGGTATCCTTCAAGTGGATGCAGTCGTCGGTCATATGGCTGTGGCTTTTATGAAACCGACAATGTTTCGACTTGTTAGTGTTTGGCTTGGATGGTATTTGTTTAGGGAACCAGACTCCCGCTTTCCAGAATTCTGAGTTGGCATATTCAGAGAGGATCTTTTCTCGGGAGACTGTTAGGGGAGTATACTCGTGGAACCGACCGAAAGGCCCTTTGTTGTCCTAGGGCTTCTAGGGACGGTCTTCGCATCTTCTATCTCCTCGACGGGATGTCGAGGGCTCGTCGAGCTTGGATGACCAGGCACTCTCCCGATGCCTCGAATCTCAGGAAGAACTGATGGCCTCTTTCTCTTCGTACTGGATGTATGCTTGTGCTTTGAGGAGGAAGGCGTTCAGCGTTGTTAGGAGCTGGATGCCCACAACTTTGGCAAATTCAGTGCGAGGATGGAGCCTGCGCTTGAGCAGAAATTTCTTCATGTCATCGGTCGTGGAAACCTGGGTAGCTTCCTTGTTGAACCTTTCGATGTAAGCTCATAGAGGTTCATCATTCTCTTGAATGATAGCCTCAAGGGAAGCTTCAGTCTTCGGGAGCCGACGAGAGGCCGTGAAGTGTTTGGAGAATATTCTCCCCAATTGCCTCCATGATGTGATGGAATCGTCAGGGAGTCTTTTGCACCAGGTCATCGCTCCCTTCCTGAGCGTGGTCTGAAACAACCTATATTTGATGGCTCCCCGGATGCCACGATAATCGAGTTGTGCATCACTATTTTCGATGTGCTTTTCGGGGTCCGTAGTACCGTCGTATGTGTCAGAGAGGGGGTCGCGAGGCTCGTCGTCACTGCTGCTGCTGGACCATGACGGGGAGCGGGTGCCTTGTCTATGGGTAGGATGGCGATCTCGACAGGGAGATGGGGTTTGTGCTCGGCCCTTGAATCTGGGCAGAGGCGAACACTGGGACTCTGCTTGGTGATCTCTTCTAGTCCTCTTGGGTCACAGGGAATGCTGGTTCCAAGGAGAGACGTGGTCGCACTTTCTGACGGTCTGGGTCTCCGGAGGTGTCTGACGGTTTCTTTCACGTCGGGGAGGAGGACTTCGTGTTCTCTCACGCTCTTTCCTCGGTGGAAGGGATCTTGGACGACTTGACTCTTCTAGGGCTCCAATCCTCGCGTTCTGATTGAGGATTATGAGGTTGGTCTTGTTGAGAACCTCGAGAAGGGCAGCCATGGCCGGGTTGGCGCTGGGCGGAGCTAAGACTGACAGGTGCTCCTGGACGAGCGGGACCTCGTTGTGATCTGCGCGAACGGGGGAAGGAGAAGCGGTGGCTCCGTCCCTTTGTTGGGGGACGTCGCCCCCAAGAGAGGTGGTTGCTCCGTCAGTATCAGTCTTGCTAATAAGGAGGAAAGCAAAGTTGTGAGAATCATGAGCGTTGTCACGGATGGCCATGATCGGATTTGGAAGAACTATTTTGGTCTCGAATCTACGATGGAAGAAAAGACGAGGATGACAGGTTCCCATAGACGACGCCGCCGATCTTGACGGCTGATCAGAGCCTAAAGTAGGCCAGAGACAATCGTCTATGATGCTGGGTGTGAGAGAGGAGGAAAGGGTGTACCAGCAAGACACTCTGATTCTAAAGTAAGAATCGGGAGAAAGAAGGCAAATACAAAATATGTGTGTATCAGGGTGAATATTTAATACTTGACCCTCTCAAATGAGAGGGTTCTTATCGTGCCCACAACGCTTGACCATTGGTCCCTATTTTCGGGCAGAGGAGCCCATAACTAGTCGTTGTTACGGAAAGAGACGTAGTTACGGGCACAAGTTTCTTGGCTCTTTCTGGATGGTGGAACCGTGCGTGACGGGCAAGGACTGGTGAGGAGAAGTGCTGATTCAGGGGTAAACCGGTCAACCTCCCCTGTTGGAGAGGCAGAAAGGTAAATGTTCCCCCAAATTGGTTGGACTTAGACAATTTGGTCGTTCTGGGAGCAGAAGTGGATTGGGTCATGCCTAGCCATTGGAGCAGTCCAAAACAGATATTTTGTGAAAATGAAGATAAAATCAAAGAATAAAAATCAAACTTTTTTTTCAATAAATGCAAATAAAATCAAATTGATTAATGATTTGCATATATTAATTTTTTCTCAACATTTTTACAAAATAACAAAAATAAATGAAATTAAAATAAATAAAATTCGAGTGCAAAAATGCGCGAAAAAAATAAACTGAACGCTTTAAAATGATCTATGCAAAATAAAGTTCTATAAAACAAACATATAAAGATCAAATTTTGCAATAAAAAATGACTGGTTGAAAAGACCCAAGCTGATCAAAATGCAAATGCAAACGGGATCAAAAAAATTAAACGAGCACGCCGGGTTAAACTACGCGAATCGTAGATCAATTAAACTGACACCTACAAGCCCGATCTTGAAATTTTTCGCCTGCTAATTTTATGCGCATTTGAAAACTGATTCGACTAGTTTGTCTGTAAAATCGAAACTTTATTCTGGTAGACTTTTTAAGCATTATTCTGAAAGAAATACATGTCATGATATGTAGATGATGCAGATGTCTTGTGAACGCATTTATTTATTGATTTATGGGCAAAATTGGGGTATGACATTACCCTGCACCACCAATGATTGATATCTTTTAAAAAATGGCTCAAAAGCACTCAAGTACTATAAGATGGAGAAACATAATTGCTAGCTAGCGAACAAAGGCATGTCAGTCGTTTCCAACGTTACATTACGACTTCCAAGAAATGCATTTAATGCGTATATTCTTGGGAAATGATAACATCCCATTTAGGACTTCCACATCCATGGATTCCATAATTGAGTAGCAATGCGTGTCACAAACCCTCAACATACAATTGTTTCCTGTCGTTCGTAAGGCCCAGAAGACAGTTACGAAGAAGTAGGTTACTAAACTTGAGACAAGTAGATCATTTGTCCTGTGTGTCGTAAAATATATCTCATGATAATGCTATGCTAACCACCCAGATCAATTCAACGGTTGATCTCATCCAACACTGTTCCACACACATGCAATTATCAACTATTCCCCCTATTTAAAGAGAAAAATGCGTCACTCCACTAGTATTGAAATACTTTTCATTTAAACTTCAATTTTTATTTTCTTACTAACTTGAACGTTAAAATGCTAATCTTACCGCATATAAATCATATCGGAAGCCTCAATCTACCACAACAGTAAATAAATCCACTCTTTTCGATCTAACTCTAATTCCATTATACAACAATATAATTAATAAAAATTTGTCTTAAAAATATAAACTAAATTATTCTTAAAGTAATAACTAAATCATTTTTCTATAAAAAAAGTTAAATATGCTTAGAGCAAAAATTGTTTTATAATAAAATTACATAACTTTATAAGGAAAACTTACTTTTCTAATTTTCCTTCTTAAACAATATCAAGATTAATTGTTAGTAGCATTTTCTTGATAGTAATTGATAGTATTAGATCACTTGCTCTCCAATCGCGTGTTTTACACGAATGAGTATCGAGATCGCATCAGCAGCATCATCATCATCATTCCTTCAAGGGTTCCTCCACCTTGATCCGAACCAAACAATTTCTGCAAACTCTTCAACTCTTTCTTCTACTCATCCATAGACACTCCATACATCCAAATCAATCTTCACCACTTCTCAACTATTAAGATCCGTTGTTGAAGTGGTTGATTTCATTTTCTCTCTTTTTATGATTTTTCCTTTCTATCTTCAGAGATGCGTAACTATGGGGTTTTAATCTCTTTTCCCGATCTCGGCGTGACTCGCATGTGACATGGATTTCGGAACGAAATTCGATACAGCCATTTTGAAAAATCGGTGGTTGAATCTATTTGACGGAACTTGATTACTGTATATTTAGTGAGAAGAAAACGTTTTTCTGTTTGAATTTGTAGTTGTTGTTTTTTGTTAAGAAGGCCTGGAGGGTTTGGAAATCATGTTCTGGAGGGAACGTGAGAGGGAGACTAAGGAACACAATGGTGGGGTGCTTTGTGGACAAGTCAGAGTGCTCGTTGTTGGTGACTCAGGTTCATCATTCTTACTTACACTACACCCTTTTCTTCTCTTGCTTTTGTTAATCTTTCCCAATTTTATGTGTTTTCATTTTGAAAGTGAAACTGAATGATTTTGTTGTGTTCAAGTAATGCTATATTCACAATAAGTTTGTGTATGCGTCTAAAAGTAGGTGTTACATATGGTGTGTTATGTACTTAGATTGATAAAGGATCTACGATTCTATATCTTATAATGTAAGAAAGCAAGTAGAAAGATGGTTGAAATTTCTGAGAAACCTTCTGTGGTTTGACAAAATGTCAACTTCTTTGGACATACTTTCCAGACCTATCCTCTCAGCATTCACCAAGTATTACAAGACAGTAGGATAACTTTGTATATGGGTGTTTGACTCCACCAAGTTTGGATTTCTTGAGATTGTAACATTCTACTATGGATTGTGTGAGAATAATTGGACTAGATCTTAAGGAGATTCTCTGTAGCTGATTCTAGAGATTGAGTGAAGCAAATGACTTTGGTTTTATGTGAACATCAAATCCTGTGATGAAATTATTATTATTTGATTGAAGCAGTTAATGTTCAGTAGCTGAGCAGAGTTGGCGTGGTGTGAGAATAACAACATTTGACACAAATGATGACATTAGATACCATTGTTACATTACAGTAGGCTTAAGTTGCCACAGGTTTATCTTGGAGGAATATGCACTAGACAATATTCTCACATATGGCGTTTCTCTGAAGCTTTTAATATAAATTTGCTTTGTATTTATTGGTATTATTGCGTCAAGTACATTAAATTAGCTCGTTAGTGCCTGTTTGATTTGAGGAAATACCTTCTGTCTTACTGTTTTTATTTCTTAATCTGCGAATAATCACAAAAATGTATTATTTTTTTACTTTTTTTTTCTTTTCGGATTTCACCTCATACAAAAAAATGACGATTTTACCATTTATTGTTTAAAAAATATCAGAAGACGGGAAATCAGATGGAAATAAGGTGGCACCTTGTAATTTTTTAGAACAGAAAATATAAATAGGAAACATTCTCTTACACCAAACTGTCCTTAAGTTGTATATTCTTTGGCATAATTGGTGGTACTTCCCAAGTCCAAACTTATGTCCTTTGATGCGCCTACTGCCTTAGTCAATTGTAGGTAAATAATGAAGAAAATACTGATTTTCTGAACGTGATTACAACCCTTCCCCCTACTTTATGACTCGCTCTTAAGCATTTTTTAGAGATATATCAATTGCAGATATATGACACTTTCTCATTCTTGCAGGTGTTGGGAAGTCTTCTTTAGTTCACCTTATTGTTAAAGGTTCTCCCGTTGCTCGTCCTTCTCAGACAATTGGTTGTACAGTAGATGTGAAGGTAAGTATATTAACATGTTAAAAGGTTATACAAGAGCATATACACAGTTTATGCTGTTCAATGTCTTCACCGAAGTTTCTCTGTTTCATTTCCAGCATACCACTTATGGAAATTCTGGCAGCTCTTCAAGTAGCCTCAAAGGTGATACTGAAAGAGATTTCTTTGTTGAACTGTGGGATGTCTCAGGACATGACCGTTACAAAGATTGCCGATCTCTGTTTTATTCACAGATTAATGGTGAGTAACAAAATTCATATTGTTTCAGTTTGCTAAGCTGTATAACTGTTTACATTTGAAAGTAGTTGTGTATATTAAATCCAATAAGAGGATGTGTAAAAGAAGGACAAGATTTATTTATTTATATCCCTCGTTTCTCTTTTTCAACCACTGCGTACTAAAATGAATTGCATGTTTTAATATTTTTATTTGCAAAATGCTTTGTTACCACTATCTTGGATAATTGTTTTGATATCTTAATAGCATTTGGGTATTCTAGCACTTTTGACAATCAAAATTTGGCCTTCTAGATAATGAGACCTCAACAGTAGGCACATCCATATTAGATAGTTATTTGTCTGATTGCAAACTAAATTATAGTTTGAACTTCATTTGCAGGTGTAATTTTTGTTCATGATCTTTCACAGAGAAGAACAAAGACTAGCTTGCAGAAGTGGGCAGCTGAGATTGCTGCAACTGGGACATTTTCAGCTCCTTTGGGATCTGGTGGCCCTGGTGGTCTTCCTGTTCCGTTTATTGTTATTGGTAACAAAGCTGATATTGTTGCAAAAGAGGGTACAAGAGGAAGCAGTGGGAATCTTGTTGATGTTGCACGCCAGTGGGTCGAGAAGCAGGGTTTGCTTCCATCCAGTGAGGAGCTTCCATTGACAGAGAGTTTTCCAAGTGGCGGAGGTCTTATTGCAGTAAGCATCTCAACTACTTTTTCCTCGTCAGTTTTACAAGTTTGGTCTGCTACTTTCTATGCATTAGATGGAATGCTGGTAACATGAATAAATCTGATGTTAATGCTAACCGAACTTTTAGGTGTGTTTGTTTTGTGCTTTAAAGTCTACTATTGTTTTACAATTGCATGTTAAACATGTTTTACATAAATAATTTTGATTATATTTTTTTTATGATCATATCACTGTATATGAAATGGTACTTTAGCCTTTAGGGGATGGATGAATGGATTTTATAAGAATCCTATTGAAAAAAGCTTCTCCATGCTGCCCTCTGTTTTGAATATTCTTAAATTATTTCAATTCACGTGAGCAGTTATTCGCATTATTAGGGAAACACAAATGCTTTTCTACCTAGTGTTTGAAGGTCTCTTTTATTTCATTAGTTTGAATAGCAGGGGAAAAATATTTTCTATTCTCTACTATATCCACTTGTCGTTTATCTCTACAAAATACCAGATGAAATGGAACTATTTTAGAAGGGATACAATGAAATCATTGATCAGTTATTGAAATGATCTGCTTTATTTGACCGATGGAAGCAAAGACGATAAACAATAAACTCTAACTAATTCAATATTTATATAGATTCTCTATCTATATTCTATATTTTATAGAGATAGAATTCTATGGAGAATGTGGAATATATTATATAGAATACTTTAAGATATTATAATAGAAAAATGAAAATAATAGTTTTCTTATTCAAAATGCCATGTGATAAAAAGAAACTAAGTGTTCTTATTTAAAATGACCTATGGTACTCAACCATTTCTGTGTTTTTTCAAGGTTCGAATATGATGAATGACTTGCAGTGAAACTTCATGCTTCACTTTGTTCCAATCTATCTGGATCAGAAGTAGATTTTTTTTGCTGCAGTTTGTTGTCAAAATCAAGAGGCTAATGGTTAAAAATTAAAATCATATTTCTAACATCAGTTTACTGAAGCATGTCAAATCATATTTTCTTTATAGTCACTCATTATGAATAATGAATTTAGCACAATCATTGTGGCATTACCCCCTGTGCTGTTCTTTAGAAAATTTTGAACCGGAGATGCTTTATGTTGAATATTAGCACAAAATCAAAACAGATTCTGTCATACAGCTCATTATGGCTGGATTCAAATTGTGATTAAATAGAAATTAATTGTATTATTATATTCTTACCTTATTTAGGATTAGCATTTATAGGGAGAATAATTACCCCTATTTCTTAGTGTAATTTATATTCTATAAATACTCATGTACTATGTTACAGAATAACGAATATAGAAAAAGCATATTTCTATATGGTATCAGAGCAACAAGAATCCTTTAGGTTTTTTTTTGTTTTTGCTTCCGCTCTGTTTATCTTTTTTACATCCCACAATGTCTGATACCGAGTCCTCACTTTCACCCAAACATTCCTCACCCGAACCTAAATTAGTCCGAACGTACCATGAAAACCACCCTGTTCAGATCACAACAATTCGGCTGAACGGTGCTAATTATCTTCGATGGTCGCAATCCGTTCGTATGTATCTCAGGGGGAGAGGAAAGATTGACTACATTACTGGCGACAAAAAACAACCAGACAAGGCAGGTGCAGATTATGATACATGGGATGCTGAAAACTCCATGGTCATGACATGGTTAGTCAACTCCATGGATGAAGAGATAGGTGCAAATTATCTCTGTTATGATACTGCAAAAGAACTTTGGGAAGGTGTCTCCCAAATGTACTCTGATTTGGAAAATCAATCCCAAATCTACGAATTAACTCTCAAATTGGGAGAAATTCGGCAAGGTGAAGATTCAGTCACCAAATACTTCAATTGTCTCAAACGTATTTGGCAAGATTTGGACCTTTTCAATGAGTATGAGTGGAAATCACCTGCCGATAGCAAACATTACAAGAAGATGGTGGATGTTAGTCGTGTTTTCAAGTTCCTTGCGGGTCTAAATGTTGATTTTGATGAGGTTCGTGGCCGAATTCTAGGCAGAAATCCTATCCCTCCAATTGGTGAAGTCTTTTCAGAAGTACGTCGCGAAGAGAGTCGTCGGCAAGTGATGCTTGGAAAAAATACAGCAGCTGTCCCTCCACCAGTTGAAGGATCTGCCTTGGCAATTCCCCATGTCAATCGTAAACCACTTCATAATCAACGAGGTGGAGACAAGACTCATTTATTTTGCGATTACTGTGGGCGCAATCGCCACACTCGGGAAACTTGCTACAAACTACATGGGCGACCAAATCATGGCAAGGCTGGTAAGTTTGGTGATCGTCCTATGCCTATGGCCAATGAGGCTGATTCGTCTCCATGTACGAAGGAGCAAATGGATAACCTTCTTAAGTTTCTAAAGTCCAATTCATCTCTTAATATCCCTACTGGAACTGTGGCACAAACAGGTAAGGATTCTTGGGCACTATCGGCTCACAACCACTCTAACCCTTGGATAATAGATTCAGGGGCATCTGAACACATGACTAATTGCTCTCATCTATTCAGTACCTATTTTCCTAGTTCAGGTTTTGAAAAAGTTAGGATAGCTGATGGTAGTTATTCAAGTATTGCAGGCAAAGGCAGCATAAAAATTTCAGAGCAAATCACTTTGCAATCTGTTTTACATGCTCCTATATTCGCTTGTAATCTTCTATCTGTTCATAAATTGTCTAAGGACACTAATTGTTCTGTTCTTTTTCGTCCCTCTACTTGTGTCTTTCAGGACCAGAACTCGGGGAAGACGATTGGAACTGCTAGAGAGATGAATGGATTGTACTACCTTGATGGAATTCAGTTTGGCAATAAAGCGTTTTTCGGTTCAAACAGTACAAACGCATCTCCTGTTTCAGATCAAATTATGTTATGGCATAAAAGATTAGGTCACCCTAGTTTTTCATATCTTAAGCATTTGTTTCCTATTTTTTCCAAAGAAATAAATTCCTCACAATTTCATTGTGAAGCTTGTCACTTAGCTAAAGATCATCGTGTGTCTTTTAAATCAAAAGTCTATTCTGCTTCTAAACCTTTTTATTTAATTCACAGTGATGTTTGGGGTCCTTCAAAAATTAAAACTATGTCTGGAAAAAAATGGTTTGTAACATTTATTGATGATCATACACGGCTGTGTTGGGTTTATCTCATGGAGAAAAAATCAGAAGTTGAACAAAGATTTCAAGATTTTTTTAACATGATTAACAATCAATTTCAAACTAAGATTGGCATTCTAAGGTCTGACAATGGCACTGAATATTTCAACAAATATTTAAGTACATTCCTTGTAACTAAGGGGATAATTCATCAATCCACTTGTCGCGATACTCCGCAGCAAAATGGTATTGCTGAAAGAAAAAATAGACATCTCCTCGAAGTCACTAGAGCTATTATGTTTTCTATGAATGTACCTAAGTATCTTTGGGGAAATGCTTTATTAACTGCTTGTCACCTCATCAATCGAATGCCATCTCGGGTGTTACAATATGAAAGTCCTGTACAAGTGTTACAAAACAATTTTCCTACATCTCGTATTATTACGGATCTTCCCCTTAAAATTTTTGGTTGTCTTTGTTATGTTTACATCCCCAATGTTTTTCGTTCTAAGTTGGATCCTAAAGCCGAAAAATGTGTTTTTCTTGGCTATGCTTCCAATAAAAAGGGATACAAATGTTTTAACCCAGTTACAAAGAAATTTTTTGAAAGCATGGATGTTCACTTTGTTGAAAATCAACCTTTTTTTAAAAATTCTCTTCAGGGGGAGAGTCAATGTAATAATAAAGAAGATAATTTTTGGGAAACTTTGCCTGCTCTAGATGATATTGTGACTACAAATCACCCAAATGCTAAGATAATAGAATCTGAAACAGGGGGAGAAACACTGATTAAGGATGATAATCCTGAACTTAAAGTGTATGTTCGAAAAAAATTCCACAAAGGTGGTGCAAACCCTATTGTCTCTCCAGTAGAAATCCAATCTGATTTACCAAGTGAAGGTCCTACAGATAATCTGTCTTCTAGTTCTTCATCTGGTAATCCTTCTTACTCATCCAATGATTTATCTGATTTGTCTTTTCCTGATATTAATCTTCCAATTTCTGTGAGAAAAAATATTCCTGACCTCGATGTCCCAATTGCTGAGAGGAAAGGTTCTCGTATGTGCACTAAACATCCTATGTCTAATTACTTGTCATATGACAAACTATCACACACCCATAAGGCATATGTGTCTAGGATTTCTAATTTGTTTGTGCCCAGAACTATTCAGGAAGCATTAAGTGATCCGAATTGGAAATTAGCAGTGAAAGAAGAGATGGATGCTCTAAACAAAAATAACACTTGGAGTATCACTGATCTACCACAAGATAAAAAGGCAGTAGGGTGTAAGTGGGTCTTTACAGTGAAATGCAAGGCTGATGGAAGTGTGGAAAGATACAAAGCGAGATTAGTAGCAAAAGGATTTACTCAAACTCATGGTATTGATTACCAAGAGACTTTTGCCCCAGTTGCTAAGATCAATTCTATCAGAATTCTTCTTTCTCTTGCAGTAAATTTCAACTGGACACTATATCAATATGATGTTAAAAATGCCTTCTTGAATGGTGAATTACATGAAGAAGTATATATGAGTTTACCTCCTGGATTTGAAAAAAATCTTGGAAGAAACAAAGTATGCAGATTGAGAAAATCCCTATATGGATTGAAACAATCGCCAAGGGCCTGGTTTGAGAGATTTGGAAGTGTTGTTAAGAGACACGGTTTCACCCAAAGTCAAGCAGATCACACTATGTTCTTTAAACACTCATCTGAAGGTAAGATTGCTATCTTAATAGTGTATGTTGATGACATTATTATTACAGGAGATGACGTCAAAGCAATTAGTGATCTGAAGAGAAGACTTGAGGCTGAGTTCGATATCAAGGATCTTGGAAAGTTAAAATACTTTCTTGGGATGGAGTTCGCAAGGTCTAAAGAAGGTATTTTTCTCAACCAGCGCAAGTACATACTCGATTTACTTGCAGAAACAGGGATGACAGGGTCTAAAGCAGTAGAAACACCAATGGATCCCAATGTGAAACTAAAGTCAGTTGCTGAAGATGAAATAGTAGATAAAGAACGTTATCAACGATTGGCTGGAAGACTAATTTATTTGTCACATACAAGGCCAGATATAGCCTTTGCAGTGAGTGTAATAAGCCAATTTATGCATGCACCAGGTGCAGCCCACTTTGAAGCTATTTTCAGAATATTAAGATATTTGAAAGGTACTCCGGGAAAGGGGCTGATATTCAGAAATAGAGGACATATACAGGTTGAAGCCTATACAGATGCTGATTGGGCAGGTAATATAAATGATAGAAGGTCTACCTCAGGATATTGTACTTTTGTAGGTGGAAATCTAGTTACATGGAGGAGCAAAAAACAAAATGTTGTAGCCAGGAGCAGTGCAGAAGCTGAATTCCGATCTGTGGCCCATGGTTTTTGTGAAGTATTATGGATAAAAAAGTTCATGGAAGAATTGAAGTTCTTTGGCCCAACTCCAATTAAAGTTTACTGCGATAATAAGGCTGCTATTTCTATTGCCCATAATCCTGTCCTACATGACAGGACGAAGCATGTTGAAGTGGACAAGCATTTCATCAAAGAAAAAATTGACAGCGGTGAGATTTGTATGTCCTACATACCTACCAAAAGTCAAGTAGCAGATGTTCTCACAAAGAGTCTTCCAAAGAGACTGTTTGATAACATGGTGTGCAAGCTTGCTATGAACGATATATTCATGCCAGCTTGAGGGGGAGTGTTGAATATTAGCACAAAATCAAAACAGATTCTGTCATACAGCTCATTATGGCTGGATTCAAATTGTGATTAAATAGAAATTAATTGTATTATTATATTCTTACCTTATTTAGGATTAGCATTTATAGGGAGAATAATTACCCCTATTTCTTAGTGTAATTTATATTCTATAAATACTCATGTACTATGTTACAGAATAACGAATATAGAAAAAGCATATTTCTATAGCTTTACTATTTCAGATTCTTGATTTCTCATTTTCTAATTCTTTACCTAAAGTATCATTTTTGTGTATGAAGTTAGTTACAAATCACATCTTATAGAATTTAACACATAGATCAGCCTTTCTTTTCTTTTTGTAATAGTAGCTATTTAGTTCATTCTTTGTATAATAGTTTTAATTTTTTGTTGTTGGATGTCTACAGGCAGCAAAAGATGCTAGGTATGATAAAGAGGCTGTGATTAAATTTTTCCGCATGGTCAGTAATGTCTTTGATACTCCGATCCTTTATCTTTTTTTTAAAGTTATGGGCTGTCATCTAAATTTTCTTGTCCTCTACTTTTAGTTGATTAGGAGAAGATACTTCTCAGATGAAATACCTACACCTGCATGGTCCATTCCTTCACCTCAAAGATCTTTTCAGCGGATAGATGAAAGTTTTATCGAAGAAGATCAATCTTATAATACAGGGTATTTTCTGCTTCTCTTCTAAATCATTATCAATTTTGTGCCACTCTATTAATTTTATTGTTGATTGCAGTCGAGCCAGTGATCCATACAAGTATAACACGCTTCCCCCGCTTCCGGCTCAACGCAATTTAACTCCACCACCCACACTCTATCCTCAACAGCCAGTTTCAGTCTCTGAAGGCTACAGTTACCCTAGATTTTCTTTGTCTGGTTCCTCGGAATTGAGTTCTTCAAGTAGAACAAAGCGCTCAGATATAAATGTTTGAAGATCTTTCTTTGTATTTGGTGATTAGTCACTGATATTACACTGATGTATAATTGAATGGAAGAACAAAGTTATATGTTTGTTTTGACTTTTTGTTCCAATTGTAAACTGTCCACTGATTCATTCATTTTTTAGAGGCTTTCTCAGTGGGAGAAGGAGCTACTTGTTCAAAGTATGGAGAGAATTTATATGATATATAATCGATTCTTTAATATCATACATTTCTTTTTCTGCCATTGAGAAATCTTAACAATATTATATGCATTACACACTGAATTAGTCTTAGAAACAGTTTTTGTTGGTTGATGCTTAAACTCAATAAATTGGAAATGAATTGATATGATATTGGTAAGAAATAAGTTATGTATTTTAACAAAATGATTTACATAAGTTTGACCAAAATATAATAGGAATAAGTTCATATATTCTAAATTTAACTTGTAAACTTGTATATATTCTAGAAGTTTGATTTCATAATGTAAAAGAAAATGATTCTGAAAATTAACATGTAGAAAGTTAACACATGCAATATTCTTCTAAAATTTATACCTATTAGAAGTTAAGTAGAAAATTATTCTTCTAAGACATCTGCTCGAGAAAATATTCTTCTAAAATTAACATCCGCTCGAGAAAAATTTATATATATATTACTAAGACACTATGTGAAAAAATAAAAATGTATCTAATTTTTTTGGAAATACATCTCCAATCACATTCTGGGTATATAGAATTCTGCGTTAACATTAAAAAATTTTTGTAGATGCATCTTCAAACTGATTTTAGAAGATGCATCTTCGGATTGATTTTAGAAGATGCATCTTCGGACGATATTGGAGTTTAAATCGTGCCAGAATCCTTCTCCTTACTCATTTCTAAAAAAATATAAAATTTTCTCAAAACTCACTCAAAATTTTTTCCATCAACCAAGTTCAAAATCAAACAATCAAGTTCAAAGGTTCTTCAATCAACATCAAGTACACCAGAGACATCATCCAACACAGAAGTAAACTCTAAATTTGTAAGTTTTTGATGTTTTGAATTTTTATGTAAATGAGTAAAAATTGATGATTTAGGTAAGAAATGAGTAGAAATTTGTCATACTCCAAATTTGTCCTACCAATATATAGTGTTATCTTTATCTATTAACTATTATTCAAAATAAAAAATATATGTGTGCTCGTTGTTGGTTGATTAAGCTCAGGTTGTGCAAGATGGCTACCCAGGATTAAGCAAGACTATCAGTCCTAATGTGTGAGAAGTGATGATTGAGACTCAACCAAACTTGACCTAATACATGTCAAACAAGAAGAGTGATCCAGGCTATATCAAATCAAGCATTTCATGATCATTAGAAATTAGTCTGATCACTAATTAAGGTTTGGGCAAGGTGCAGAGATTCATATCCCAGTTTGTAGTCCTATGATGTCAAAAGGCTTTCTTGATCACAAAGTTTTAGGATGAAAGGTCAAAATTGTTTTAGTTGGTAAATTTCAAGATTCAAGGACATAATGTGCACATTGATCAAGATGGATTCATGATTAATAATGGTCTCATTCAAAGTAGATTGGTATTTTGTTTAAGAGTAATTCACGAATAGTGTGTTTCAACGTTCACAAATGGTGATACGATGCCAAATTATTCATGATCTAATCTTGCTACAAGTAGAATTCTTCATTCATTCAAAATCATGGCATCCTATAAGAACCGTTAATTCAAGAAAAGAAGATGAATCAAGATTCATGGGTTCTTTTAATCCAAACACTAATTATATTCATATTTCCTTCAAGAATATAAATTCAAGGGACGTTCAAGAATCTTCTTACAAAAGTTCAAGTGCAGAATTTTATTCAATGCCACTCAAAGGATTTTAAAATCCCAAATCCTTCTTATGTTTGACCAACAAGTTCATTATGAACCAAAAAATCACAAGCAAATTCCATTCATTCTAATAAGGAACTTCCATGGATTACTGTTTCAGTCTGGGCCTGACCTCGGCAGGCACAATACCACGTACGACCCAATAAGCGAATCGGGCACGCGCGTCCCGCAGGACGAGCAGAGCGCGCCACCGGACACATGCAGCGCGTCCAACAGCATCTCGTCGTCCCCTCTTATCAGCCGAACAGGACACACCTCGGCGCACCAAAGCGCGGCCTTGGTTCCTTCCCAACCTAGCGAGCTCCCCTTCGCGGGGAGAACAACGTGCCCGGCGCACGTTCTCCACGTGCACCCCTCCGCGGGGACACGTCAGCTCCTAACTGCCCACCTCCGAAAGAGCAGGTCAAACCCACTTTCCGGAGACCATGGGATAGTTGGACTAGGGCGAAGACCACATTCTGGTCTTCACTACGCCACGTAAGCCCTAACAGTCATTAGGGTTGGGCCTGGTCATCTAGCCCACCTCAAATGACCGTTGGCCCAGCGCTGGGGTCTCTCTATAAATACCCTCTTCCCCAAGAGGGTCAGGTAATTCACTTCTTGCCCAATTTCTATACTTTGCTCTCGCTCTGCCCAATTCCTTACTTTGGCATCAGAGTGTTTTGCAGGTATACCCCCTCTTTTTGCTCCTCAGCATCGGTGAGCACGTAGCAGTCCAATAGAGTATGGCCGGCCCGTGATCCCCTTCTGATCAGGTCAGATCAGTGGCGCCGTCTGTGGGAACGGAAACTTCCCAGTTACTTCGAGCAGCAAACCAAAGTTTCACCAACACTCCACGATCATGGCTAGCCCACACCGCGATGGCACTCCGCACGACCTCGCGCTCAACGTCGCCACCAACGGAAACAAGCAGATGGAAACGACACGTCCGGCGGAAACCGATGAGAGGGACGGACAAACTGCCTCGCCGTCATCCGCGGAGCGGCCCCTTCAGGCCGACCACCGGCCCCCAGGTCCGCCAGCATTCCAACCCGTTCCCATCCCGGCGGGAGCAGACCCGACGGTGGCCGCCCTCTTCGCGGCCATCAACCAGACGAACCAGCTGCTGGCCCAGTAAAACGCGAGAATCGGAGCATTAGAACGCGTCGACCCTCCGAGGTACCCCCCCGGGAAGACCAGAACGGAGGCTCGAGGAGTCCCTCACCTCGACCCAGAAATCGCCGGCCACGGTTGGAGAGGCATCGTGCACAGGTAGCGCGAGAACGCACCAGGTCCCCAGCAAGACAAGTTCGCGAGCGGAACCAAGGTGCCGCGACGATCCCGACCGGGGATCCCCGAGGCAAAAACTCAGGCAGGAGGTCGAGAACCCGAAACCAGGGCCCTGTTTTGAACGGATCGTCCCCTCATCGGTCCCCGACACCCAGCGACGAGGACGATTACCGCACCCCGCTGTCCCGAGAGATCATGGCTGCCCCCATACCCCAAGGGATGGAGAAGCCCCCGACGCTGTCGACATACGACGGCACATCCGACCCGGACGACCACCTGGAGGACATCGAGGCCATGCTCGATTATCGAAACGTCCGGGGGGCCATCAAGTGCAGACTCTTCCCGACGACTCTGAGGAAGGGCGCCATGACCTGGTATAAAAGTCTGGAGCCCGAATCAGTCTTGTCGTGGAGAGTCTTGAAGGACCTGTTCTCCAAACACTTTACGGCGTCCCGACGCCACCCGAAAACGGAAGCAGTCCTCGGGGCGATCATTCAGGGCCCCGATGAACCTCTCTGAAAGTACATCGAAAGATTCACTCGGGAAGCAGTGCAGGTGACGACATCAGACAAGATGAAACGCTACTTAATGGAACAAGGTCTGCGCCACAACTCCAAGTTCTACGAGGCCGTAGGCATACACCGGCCAACATCCCTCCAAGATTTCCTCGACAGAGCCGTGCATTACATCCGATTCGAAGAAACACAAGCGGCCAACTCCGCTTGAGACACCCGAGACAGGGAGGCCCCCAGCGGGCACCGAGACGACGGAGCCTCGAGCCATCGACGAGGAGGAAACCGCCGTCGAGAAGATCGGCCCCGCGAGCCCCGCGAACAACGCGAACCGCGCGACCCGGCCGGCAGATTCGCAGAGTACACAGCCTTAGTCGCTTCACGCGAGCGCATACTAGCCGAATACGCTAAAATCGAATTCGTGCAGGGAGGTGTCCGTTTCCCGCGACCAACACCCCCCAAACCCAATGTAGACAAATCGAAATACTGCCGATTCCATAGGAGCCGCGGGCACGTGACAGAAGACTGCATCCATTTGAAAGACGCGATCGAAATTTTGATCAAAGACGGTCACCTGAAAAGATACACCCGAGGAGGCGAACCAGCTTGGCAAGAGGCCCCAAAAGCCAAGAAAATTGAGGAACTTCCCTCTCCAGAGGACAACAGCAGGCTCCAGGTCGCGTTGTGTGTCAGCCGCCCCGAGGATTGGTTCGCGGGCAGAGAATTCGGTCTCCCCGAAGGATCCGACCTAATCGACGAGCCAATCCGACCAACCAGCCGGTGGGAGTACTTCCCCAGAGCCATGGTCATCTCTGATGGAGCCATGATGAGTCTGTCCATAGGATCCATGAAAAGAAAATTCGACGAACTCATCGCGAACAACTCCGGCAAAATGAGCACGCTCGACAAATTCCGAGGCCGCTCCAACCCGATCACATTTTACCTCGAGGAACTCCTCGGGGGATCCCCCAACTCCAACATACCCCTGCTCATACGTGCAAGGATGGAAAAATTCGACGTCAGGCACCTCCTCGTCGACGGCGGAAGCTCGGTTGACATCATGTACTCACACCTGTTCATAACTCTCCAGCTCGACGAATCCAACCTTTCCCCCTACGTAGGCTCCGACCTTCAGGGGTTCAACGGGACGACGACGAGACCTTGGGGATACGTGGAATTGAAAGTCACCTTCGGAGAAGAGGAAACAGCTAGGGAAATCAGCATCCGTTTCTTAGTCATCGAATGCCCATCCCTCTATAACTGCATCCTGGGCAGGACGACGATAGCAGAACTCACCGCGGTACCCTCCACCGTCCACCTGAAGATGAAATACTACACAAGA